GTAGACAGTCAGAGAACTAGACCTTTTTAAAATTTCATTGTAGTCCCCGGTTTGGCACACTGCTAATAAACATCGTTGAGTGAGAAGATGGACAAGCTATCTTATAACGATACTGTGGAATACAGTCAGGAGTTAGACACAGAACTATATTCAGTATTCTAATGAAAAGCTCTCCAGAGTAAAGTTACTTGAGAGGAGATAGTGTAATACAAAAATACAGTTTTCCCCTCCCGTGTTTGAGACAATGTACAAAAAATTTTTTAAGTAAAATCCATGTGTAGTAGTTAGTGTTTGTTTACCTGATAAAATTGTGTGAAGAGTGCAAAAGGGTCTTCCTAAGGAGTGAAATAAATGGTTTGTGCAGTGGTAGTAAAAGAAAAGCTTATTGGTACTTTTAAAAAACTGCTTAGGGGCTGGGGATTTAGCTCAGGGGTTCCGCAGCCTGCCTGGCAAGCACAAGGTTCCGAGTTTGATCCCCTATACCAAAAAAACCCACAAAATTGCTTTACTCCGATACAATTTACTACACTAAAATTAATCAATTTTAACTGTATACTTTCATTTTAACAAATATATTCTGTGGTGAGTCCACTATCATGATTACATAAACCATCTCTGTTATCCCAGAAAGTCCCCTGGTGTCCCTTTGTACTTCACTCATCCTCTCTTAACCTCTATGACACCAGAAGCACAATATTTAAATTTTCCAAAGACAAGGTTACGAAAATGAAAACCATACCAAAAACCAGTCATAGAGATGGAGGAGGCTTGTAATTAATGTGTTTCAAAAAGCACATGTATCCACAAGGTGACTTTTTGATGTGTTGGCTATGATGTGGATAAACTGGAATCCTGATACACTGTTGGTGGAAATAAGTAGTACAACCATTTTGAAAAACAATATGGCAGTTTCTTAAAAATTCACTTACATTATGACCTAGCCATCCCATTCATAACAACCCTAGGTATTTACCCAAGAGAAAAGATATATATGTCTATTCGAAGATGTGTACTCAGGTGTTCATAGCACTTTTATCTGTAATTGCCCAAAACTAGAAAGAACACAAATGTTCATCGACAGATGAGCAGATGAAATACTATTCAGCATAAAATGAGTGAACCTCAAGATGGTCATGCTGAGTTAAAGAATTCAGAACAAAACTATATATATTGCATAATATATATTGCATAATTCCATTTATATAAAACTCAAGAAAATACAAACATCAGTGACAAAATCAGTGGTGGTTTGGGAGAGGGACAGGAAGGAATACAAAGAGAAGGCACACAGGAAGTACAATAGCATGTACAAAGAAATGTGAGGGGGTGATAGGTTTTATCACTACTGTAACTCAAGACTTTGTAAGTTAAAACTAAAATTTTGGTCATAACCCCAGTTGGTTGTATGTGAGGCTGGTCATAACTCCAGGGCCTACTGGATTTTGGCTGTGATAGCAACACACTCAAATTTCAAAACTTAGCAAGCTACACACTTTAAAAATGTTCAGGTTATTTTATGTCTATAATACCTCAATAACTGTTTTGTGAAAACACAACTTGGTGGGTGCTATAACCAGAGCCTCGGACTATAAAAATGTTAAACATGTTGCTGCCCTCAATAAAAGTCTTCTACATAAATTTGTAGGTAATATATAACATTAAGTTTAAGTGACATTCTTGTAGAGTTCATTAGACTCTATGTAAATATCTCTAGAATAATATTGCATCATTATGATCTGCCTGTGTGTCCTCTGATTTAAAAAGTTACTTCTATCGCTTCTCGGCCTTTTGGCTAAGATCAAGTGTAAAAAGTTACTTCTGCTAAGGATTTAGCTCAGTGGTTCCGCCACCTGCCTCACAAGTGCAAGGACCCGAGTTCAATCCCCGGTACCAAAAAAAAAAGTTACTTCTGAAATATATCACAGATTTTCAGTTCGAACAGGATAAAAATATCTTCACAGAAAATGTGACATGATCTTCACCTGATTTGGCTACATGCTAGCTTATTTTTCATCTTCAATACAAGGTCTACTGTTTCTGTTTCTGGATCTAGGAGAGTAGGTCCCATAAAAATACACAATGAATATACCAGTATTTACTCAAGATTATATTTTAATAGGCAAGGCTAATGGGTAGGAAGGACAAGACAAAGGAGAGCAGAGTATTTAACTCAGATATAGAATTATAGTACAGCATAATTCTTATGATATCCTAGAAATGGCCAATCAGCTAACATTCAAAATTAGGCAGAATAAATGTCTCTTTGAAGTAAAACAAAATGTATGAAAAGTCCTTTCTGAAGAGGCCCTTTTAGGTAAAGAAACAGAAAGAAAAGTGAGAAAAGTGTACCTCAATAAAATACTATCCTCTCTATATAGTAATGAGGAATTTATAAGAAATATTACATAACAAATCAAGATGACTAAACATAATGCATTACAGAGCGGAAACTTGGCATCTTCAAATAAGCTCTTCTTGGGCTTACTTTGTGGTTGTCTTCACTGTACTGTTTTTCTTAAAGCAAAAATCACTGGAAGTTTTATTTTTAGATAACATTGAGGCTAGTCTACCTCAATTTTTTTGTTGAGACAGGGTCTCACTATGTAGTCCAGGCTGGCCTCCCAATCTGTGATCCTCATGCCTCAGACTCCCAAGTGCTAGGATTACATGGGTGTGTCAGCTTAGCTCACCTCAATTTTAAAGCTAAATAAAAATAAGACTATCCATTAACTTTCATATGCATTTTAAAATCGGCTGTTGATAAATTGTACAATATTAAAAATGAGTCCAAGCACATGAAAAAAAAGTTGATACTAACTGGAAAACGTTAAGTCAAAAGGCAAAAAGAGTTGGAGATACCTAGAGTTTGAATCCTGATTCCCTCCATTAGTGTGCAGGTAAATATTTCTTCCAGTTCTTAAAAACAAACAACAACAAAAAAAACCTTGTTCATAACAATTGCCAGCTTCTATGGTAAAATTCTCCCATTGTAGATGATTCGACCTACCAACCTGAAGTGACTGAAGGCAGAACTGGAAAAACATTAGCTCTTCTGGTCCAATGAAAGTCCATTCTAATACACTTTTCTAGAGGGTTTTACTATGTAGTTCAGGCTGGCCCTGAACTATGTAGCCAAAGCTGGCTTCAAACTCAGAGTGATCATCCTGCTTCAGCCTCCCAAGTGCTGGGCTTCCTGTACATTTTTTTTTTTCCCCAGTACTGGGGATCAAACTCAGGACCTTACACTTTCGAGGCAGGCACGGCCCTAAGCTAAATCACCCGCCCTCCAGTACACTTCTTGCTCTACTTAGCAGTGATGTGATCTAAGGCCAAGTCACTCATCTTCTAAGCCACAGGTGTTGCATAATGCAGATCATAACTGCCTACCTCAGTGAATTGTGATTAAAAGAGAATCTGTATAAAGCACCTACACATTCCCTGGCATGATACTGATCAGGAAAAATTAGCAATTTTACTAAGTATAAAGCAGATACGGGTATTATCTTCAACCTCTAAGGAATACTTTATTTTTACTTTCAACAGTTGTTAGTCATCACACGAACACACTATTTTCTAACCTCTTCACAAAGAGCTTCTAGATGGAGTGCCTCCAATTTTTGGGTGATTTCTTTCCGCCGGGTTTTGAACCAACCATCAAAATTTGGAGACTTCAGAAAATGCCTATAAAAATAAATTTTAAAAAAGCAAAGTTTGACTATCATTTATTTCCCCTACTTGTTACCTTTCTGACAGCTCAGAAAACCATAATAAACAATAGAATTTTCCAGAAAGAATCTAAAAGTTTAAGGCTACTTTTTTGTTTTTTCTTTTTAAATAAAGATCTGCAGATGAGTGGAAAGAGGAAAAGACTAACCAGTAAAGTCCAATCCAATCGCCTATCTAGAGGTCAGCTGAGGTCGTGTTTTTTCAAGTGTTCTCATAAATTCTTCTGGAAGGAACTGTCTTAATTGGGGGGCTCTAAAGGACAATATATAGTATACTTACAAACTAGAAGTGTACAGTATATATTCAAAGAAGATCACTGCAGGTACAGAATTCAAATAGGAATTTATTGGAATATTTATACCTTCCATGGAGAAATAGTTTTCTGCAAAGGCATCAGGTTTGCCACATATCTTTTCTAAAAACAAGGGAAAAAGTCAATAAAAGTTAGGTATTCTTACCTATACAGTCTTTTTTTTTTTGGTACCGGGCATCGAACTTGTGTCCTTGCGAACTATACAGTCTTATACAGAGGTCTTAGGGTTTTTTTCTCAACGTGGGTCACAGTAAATCTAAGTTGCTGACAATAAAAGAAAATCTGACCTACTGTGTCTGACAGTAGAAGGTTAAGACTCCATTTCAGAAGCAGTTCTGCTCAATACCTGTGAGGAAGGAATGCTGAGAATCTGGACAGAACTTACAGGCTTCCCTACCCAGTCAAACCCCATTAGATCATATGCTTTTTGTGCTATCACATTTTGAGTTATCCATGCTTTAAGCATGGGTATACAATGATTCTCTGCCACAACCCACACAAGGTAGGGTCCGAAGCTGGGGAGAACAGTGGAAGATGAAGAAAATTGAAGAATAACCAAGATTAAGCTTGAAAGCTGGGACCAGGTGGAACCATAGCCTGATGAGCTAATGGCCGCTTGGAGTCCAGCACACTCTTTATAGTGTTAAGAGAAACGAAAGAAGGCAGGGTATCTCGTGCTATGTGGCGTATGTGGCCTAGACTGAACATAGCCGTCTCACAATCAGGACACAGACAGAAAGGGAACAAAGGATACACAATATAACTGTCTCCTGGGGCTGTGCAATCCAGGGTCTACAGTATTAGTCAAACAGACTGTGTCTTGTTTGACTAGTCTATGGAGGAGAAAGGGAGTAGGGATTAGGTGAAGGACCAACTTCAGGCTTGGCCTGCAGCAATTCTCCATAAAAACCCAAAAGATGAGGGCCGGGGATTTAGCTCAGTGGTGCTGCTGCCTGCCTCACAAGCGCAAGGTCCCAAATTCAATCAACAGTACCACCCCCCCCCAAAAAAAAACCCAAGACAAGCTAGGGGTGATGATGTATACCTGTAATCCCAGCACTCAGGAGGCTGAGGCAGGAGGATCGCTGCAAGTTTGAGGCCAGCTGGGGCTACCATAATGAGTTCATGGCAAGCCTGAACTATAAAGCAAGATACTGTCTCAAAAAGCCAGGGGAGATGGGTATGTAGCTCAGTAAGAATCCCCTGGGTTCAATTTCTAGTACAGCGAAAAGAAAAAAAGGAAACGTGTTAAGAGTTTCCATATAGCTATACTTCCTAGGTGGCTGACCCAGAAGCTCTGTGCCTTTTCCCATATCTTGCCCTGTATATTTTATCTTTTAAACTATTTGTTATAAAAAACTATGTTATAATAAACCTGAAAATGTTCTAAAATGTGAGGCTAAAAAGGGCTTACAGACTTTGTGATTTTTGTAGTAAAGTAACATCACTTAATAATCAATGTAGCTGCCATACAGTGAGCACTTAAAATTTTTTTAACTGTTAGATATGAAAGAACTACATGCCTATGTGCCTTGGGGGCAGTTCATTTTATTACAACATTTTACTACTGATCCCACGTTAGAAATTTACAGCATCAAATGGGATTGTGTCAGAGAAATCTAAATTCCCCATGTTGTTTCCCCCTGTTATATACATGATAACCCGTAAGTTTACTGCCGACTTAAACACAATGGAATGTGTTTATAGCCTACAGTGTGTGAAACAGGAAAATCAATTTTGCAACACAAGAAAATCCGTTTCAAATATCAAGACTCAAAAAGAACAGACTAATAATGACATATTTTATCATTTTATTAGGAATAATTCCAAATGGGTTATGAAGAAAAATTATTGAATTTGACGAGTTTTCCAAAATCTCAATGAAGATATGTTCATCAATAAACAATAAAACATCAGCAGAACCATTATATACTGGGCAAAGAGTCAGGCTGATACCAAAAGCAACATGCAACATAAGAAAGATAAGAATACAAAGGAAGACAATCTGCCGAGTGGTAAAAAGCCACCTCAATATGAACTCTCTGCAACCAGCACAGAATCAGCTATCAAATCCAAACCACACCAAGGT